ATGTTACGGGCCGTCAGGGCGTCCGCCCATACTGGCGCGGCGTATAACGCCATCGACCGTACGACCCCCATGTAGAGCCTCCGGCAGGAAGAGATGGCCCCCCCCTGGTTGGGCAGCAAGCGCGACAGCGCAGCAGCGGCGCCCATCAACCGGGGGGCGAGCCGTGTAAAGTGCGGCCCGAAATTCTACCGACTGTCGAGAACGAGTCCGAGTTACTTCATCGTGGACTCAACAGCGATGGAAACCCCTCCTACTATGATGCTGGATCCTTGAGGCGGCTTCATCCTCGGCCCATGAAAACACAGGGCCTCTGATTTGTGCAATGCCACCTCTAAGCCCAGCCGCCGGATCCTACCTACGACGTGCACGACACCAGCAGTCGCGCGTATGGCCGCCTGCCGGTACGACTTTCCACGCGCTGTAACTAGCGTATCGTCGGCGTAACAAATAACGCCGACGCCGTGGAGTAGAGCACCGCGCAGAGCCCAGTCGTAGCCAACGTTCCACAAGAGCGGACCCAACACCGATCCCTGCGGAACGCCACACGACGTCTCTCGCCGACCCCATCCTTCTCGACCCGGGTACACCACTGACCTGTCCGACAAATAGGCCCCGACAATGCGTTGGAGGTAGCGCGGCACCCCATGATATCGGAGCGCCTCTCGGATGGTTCTCCAGGGCAAGGTGTTGAAAGCATTGGCGATCTCGAGCGACACCGCCAAGACCACCTCGCCCCGGGCGACTGCCTCCTCCGCCAGGACCTTTACGCGCATGATCGCGTCCACCGTGGAGCGCCTCTGGCGGAAACCATATTGGTGGTCCGCCAAATCCGGCCCCACCCTGGTCATGTGCTGGACGAGGCGGCCGGCGATGATTCGCTCGAAGATCTTACACACCTCGTCCAGCAACACGATCGGCCCGTACGCAGACGGGGAGTCTGCGGGGCGCCCCGCCTTCTTGAGCAGGACCAGCTTTCCGGTCTTCTACCGGCTTGGAAACTGGCCCCGCTTCAAACATGCTCTTAAAAGCCCTGCTAGTCGGGGCCAGAGAGCTCTCATAGCCAGGACCCATGCACGGCCTGGAATGCCGTCGGGCCCTGGGGCGGTGTTCTTGATGCGAGCCACCGCCACTCTCAACTCTACCCGGGTCACTTCGGGCACGGTGTCCTATGTACCTATGCCTATATATTTATCCATGTATGTATGTATGTAGGTACCTATAATACATAGGTATATTTTCTTTATTTATTAATTAATATTGTATTTTTCCTGTTTGTCTAGAAAACATAAAATGATTGGTAGGTATACCTATAATACATAATTATGGCATTAAATCCACCTTTTATTTTATTTTTTTAAGAGGGGAAATTATCAAATGACTTTTCACGGCCAGATTTGGGCGTGTGTCAGACTCTTACTGATTAAAAACCCCCGGTCCTTTTCCTGCTTTGGCCAAACGCGTCATTGCGCTTGCCTCGCGACCCCTGCCCAACAGGTGCCCAACCAGTCCAACAGGGTCTGTGGTGGTCTATTGACGCCGTACGCTCGAGTCAGGTTCGGGTCGGGCCACGAATTACCCTTATTCGACGTCCGCACACCCGCTTTTACGGTGGCCGGAGATCGTCTCGATCCCCGACGTCCGGAGTGTCGCCTACAACGGCGGCTGGGGTGTGAGGAGGAGAATAGCTCCCTCACGCGGTCCGCCTCCATCTTTGCGAGCGTAACTGCTTCACAGAAAGTGGAGACGGCGTCCCAGTTCCTCTCGCTCCGCACTGTGGCGTCGAATTAAATCCGCTTTGTGTACCAACTTCTTGTCATTTTAGTATAAATACATGAAAAGTCGTATTTTTGTTTAAGTACAAGAATAGTCAAGGCCAATGGCGAAAATTGTTTGATACTTATTTAGATGGTTTTAAAACTAAAAATAAAAAAAACAGATGCAACAAGAAATATTTATTTATTTTAAACTGAAAATTTCGTTTACAATCCAATGTCTTTAATAATAGTCATTTATTTGGAACATTAAATGCAATACATAAAGTACGACTCACAATTAATTTTTTTTTATGTTTTGGTAGCATTTCATACCTTAAATAAATTTCAATATGGCTGACAAATGAAACATGGCGAGAACCGTTAGATCTAATGGAGAGATTGAAATTAATTTTATTATTACTTATCTAGAAATTAGCACAAATCTTATGACTAATGTTAGAAGTTAATGTCTTTCATTATTTACTTACATAAATACTTATATTTTTTTTAATTCTTTTCTAGCCATCTCACAGCAAAGGAGAGGCTCTCTTATATTTCAAAATTTGTGCAAGTTAGTTTAGTCTTAATCACTTAAAATACAATTAAGTACCTACATGTTTACTTCTCATATACAGATCTCAATGAGATTATTAGATTACATTTATAGAATATTATTTTATTATAGGCACTGCATTTACCTAATGTTACCAGTTAGTAAATATTTTGGCACCACATAAGTCATGAAAACAAGTTTTCTGCCTCTAATAGCTTCAAAAACTTAATACTAGGTTACATTATTTTACGTTTAGGCTGCACCCACGTCAGACTTTTAATAACACCAAGGATTCAAGCCTCAAAATCGACTAAATCTTTGAAAGATTTTATTGTAAGTGGGCCCTTCTTTAGCCCTTTTGATTAGACCTTTGTTTCGTTGTACGAAAACATTAAATAAATGTTTTCTTAATACACATATATTATGCATCTTAAATACCCAAAAAACAATGATTTGCTAATACTGAATTTTGTTTACTAATACTATAAATTGACGTTTTTCACTGTCATTTTATTAAAAAATATTTTTTATTAATCGATTTTTCTGTGGATTGATTTAAGTATGTGAAATAATTTTTAAATAGGCTTTTAAATATAATATGCGTTTTTAAATCTAGAACAACATTGAACTCTAGCGCGTCAACAAGTAATTACTTAAAAAAAGAAACAACAGATAAAAAATTAACAGGAAAAATGGAATAAAAACTGGCATGATCGTTTTTACAATATTGACAACAAAATAAAAAAAAACATATTATTATATACCAAGATTAATAAGACTATTATGTAAGATTATGATCGTGTGCGTAGTTTGCAAATTATGTGCGTTTCTTTCCCAAAATATCTAGTCAAAGTAAAATCAAAGACTGGGCAGCGTTTGTAATTGAGTATGTTAATAGATGGAGCCTCTGAAGCATTTTGAAAGAAGGTAAATAAAATGAAGGCCAGTCCACATTGTGGCCAAGAACAGTAGTAGTACTTCGGAAACAATTTGGTAGGTAGCTAGAAACTAAAAAAATATCTTTTTGAATAATAAAAAGCAGATACCTAAATAAAGTGAGGTACCTGTGTGTAGGTAAATGGAAAAATAGATTTAAGAAATACGACAGCTAACGTTTGAAATAAAAAAGCATTTTACTAATTAATAAATCAAATAAGTTATGTTAAGGTACAAAAAATACCTTATACCGAAATGAGAAAAACACTGCCCAATCAATACCTATCTAAAAAAATGTCCAAATAATTAAGACTCCCCATTTTTCTCTTCAATTTTTTCATCATGGTGGTCTTCGAATTTGGCGCCCATTCTTTTGAGTGCGATGACAGCTGACACTGCTTTGGCCCAACGCTTTTTGATCACGTACCTTTTAAGTTTTGATTTGGTGACGTGGAGTTCTGTGCAAAGCGCTGATTGGATGAGCCAAGGGTGTGTTAATGTCGACGATGCTGATAGTCGTTCGCTGTGGAAAGTTAATTTATAAGATAGAAGTTTTATTAAAGCCATAAGATAACATAAATGTAATAAATTGTCTCCATGGCTGATTACTCGTTGTATTACAGGAATACCCGTCAAGTTTCGAACCAGACCGGAGTGCACACAAGCTGTGTAGGTAACGATGTCGCGCTCTGCACTGCTTCTCAAATTATCTAGTCAAAAATTTGTTCTTCAAAGCAGCACTATTATTAAATTGTAAAGCGTTCAGCATAATTTTTAATTTGATCTTGAATTATCAATCTTTCAATAGGAGTTGGTGTACCCAAAAGATTACCTCAACATACTCACCAAGTTTTTGGACCATCATCAATAAAACAGCAAAAATTTCAATAAAGCCTTATATTTTAACAACATACGTATCGTAATAACAATAAATTATAATTAAGTTACACATAAGTACAAAGTAAGGAACAATCATGATTTAAGTATTACCACCTACTTTATAAAAAATGTCTTATGTACAGATAAAAAAAGTTTTAAAGTAACCAAAACGTGTTCAATAAGTTTGTCGACATAATTCTCTCAGTCTTGAGTCTAAAATCTGTAAATATTTAGGTAATTACAAAATTTCGAAGACTAGATAGTTTCTCTTTTTATTATTGTCATTTTAATTTAAAATCGCCTTTTTAAGACTTAGCGCATATAAACGAGTTTTCTTAGGAGGTACTTTGTACCCTGTAGTAATAAATTAAAACGTTAATTTTGAAAAATATAGTGGAACTACCAATTTTATTTCTTCGCTCGCAGAATTCTCAGCAGAATAAAATTGATTGGACATATAATGCCATATTTATTCACGATAAATAAAATTAAATAAAATGATCCATAGACTAGCATTTTTATCTTTTATTCTATGTCTAAAGATGTGACTACTGTAAACATGTTTCCAAATATCTAAATATTATTAATAAAGACATTTAAAAAAGATTGCAAATATTTTTACAGGGCACTTTGTGAATACCTATTTATAAAAAGCTGCCATTATAGGATTATCTGACATACCAGTCTTATTTAAAAGAATAAAGACTTTCTAGTTTTTACGTATGACATTATGTCCAGTATTTTTATTCAATGTTAATAAGTACCTCACAATTCAGTTAACAAAATTAATCGTGGTTTTATTATTTTACTCTTTTCAACTCACTTCTAATTACAACGAGAAATAGAAGGTTTTAGAAACAAACTTTGTTCAATCAGCTTATTGGAAAAGAGACCTTAGGCTATACTAGCGGTCCAGGTTTGAGGGCGCGCAATGTTTCGGAGTTAGGGAGGGCACAGTTTGATTTTTAGTCAGTAAGAGTCAAGGGAGTTCATTAGATGTTTTTTTAACCTTATAAAAGGCTGGGCTAGTGGTATTGGTGGTACGGTAACCTTATATGCTGGTAAAAAACTAGCACAGGTACGTACCAAATATATTTGTGTATGACTTTAAGAATAAGGTTCATGTATATGCGCTAGGCTTATAATATTAGAACATAAGCTAATCTCATACCGTACTTTGGTAACATAGTGTCATGGCACTTTAGTCTCACAACTTAAATCATTTCGCTATGTTAGTCGTCACTTTCTTCCTTTGCGTCTTCTCGTCTGAAGTCTGTCTTTGGAAGAATGCGTGAAGGCTTGACATTGAGGTTTGACCCAACTGGTTTGAAGGAGACCACTCAAGAGATATTGACTGATGTCTGCCTCCGTTTGAAGTGCCCCCAGCAGACCTCTCTGCCTCTACCTCTTCAGACTCCCCCCATTTCTCCAAAAGATGTAAAAGGAGGTCCTTCGTCCGATGCGCATTGTTCTCATCTCCTCTTCTGTAAGGCATTTGTCTACCATTCTCTGAACCATTCACTAATTTGTCTATCTTCTCTCGTCTCCTGTCAAATTCTTGGAAGAAACTGTTCCGCACGTCTACTGGTTGGTCCGGCACGTCTCTACTACTGGTTGTTACTCGCTTCGGCCTACTTGTTTTCACCCACGGCATTTTACTCGTCATTGGCTTCTCTGGTTCCCTCTCAGTTAAAAATGTTGATGATATTTTGGTCGTTGACTTCGAAGTGAACAATTTCTTTTCTTTACCTGACGCATCACCGTTTGTAACAGTCTTTGTGTACCTTGTTTCTTTCTTAAAACCATTTGGTAGCTTCTCTTCTTTGACCGATTTAGTTTCTGTGATGTTTTTGTCTAGTTCCTTCATGCTGTTGTTGTTTGCGAGATCAGTGTTCATTGTGGATAACATATACAAGTGGTCAGATAATTTCTTAATTTCTTCTGCTAAGTTTTTCCTAACGAGTACGTCCTGTTTTTTATGCAAGAAGCAAGTGCTGTCAGAGGCTCGCCTTTCTACGGGATTGTATTTGGGTGCGGAAAGGAAATTGTGTTCTCTTAGCGGTGGCGGTTCCAAGTCATCTTCATCAAAAACTACGTCAGGGGAGCTGCTCAGTGAACTTCTAGGGGAAGGCGAGCATCCTCCTATAGAGGATCTCTCACAGTTTCCATTCGCTAGGCTGGTGATTTCATGCGCTTGGTTATCGAATACGTATGGTGAGTTAGGGTGTTCGCTCCATCGCTCTACGAAGAGTCGCAGGTTGTCCTTGGCGACGTCGAGAGCGTTCTTAGGTTCAGGCACGGGAGTGCGCGGTGCGGGGTGCGGTGTGGGGAGCTGGCCGTTGTGCGTGGAGTGCGGGGGCGGCGCGCGTCTCTGTAGCCACGCGTGCCGGAGGCACTCGGTGGCGCTGGGCCGCGACCTGCGACAAAGACCCTTGTTACTAGCGCCCAACACCGACACAACAGTTATAGGACGGGATGGCGTCACTACCTCTACAGGGGAGCTTAGTGGTGGATTGGACCCAGCTACACCAAGTGGGATGTAAGAGGAAATGCGTGCATGTGTGAAAGGAGTATAGGAAGGATTAATAGATTAGGTTTCGTGGAACAGATTTTGGGCTAAATTTGAAGGAAGGAACAGTTACTGGTGATCTACTTATACATTCTAATCTAATTCTACTTAACTAGTATGTACAGGTTAGAGAATTAATGTTATAGTTAGAGCATTCTACTACTTCGTGCAATGTTTTATGTAGGGTTAGTTACTAGTGTTGGATCAAACGAGTAACAAGGGGTCTTTATCGTCAGGCTGGCATGTACACAGCTTTAGAATAACCGCGAGATTGAGATCATACCGGACTTGAAAGGTTGCGAGGATATATCAGGTTTTCATCGGTTTAATCACGCATTTCGAGGTTCTTTAAGAATTAGGTAATCAAATTCTTGATTTGAACAGGCTTATATTAAGGAAGAACTTTTTGCAAAAAACTCCTTTACGTGCATTTAAGAAATAGAGTTTTCAGAAGGTTTTATCACAATCAAGATTTTTTGCATAAAGTTCTTACAATAAAGGGCCTAATGCCCTTAAAATCACAACAAGAAGGTAACATATCAGGCAAAACTTACTCTTTGTCCTTGACGAGCAACTTCTGTATGAAGTCCTTGGCGTCATCCGAGATCTCGTTGAAGGCTTCATCGTCGAAGTCGTATTTAGCGACGGTGACGTTGGCCATTGTCTCTATATCTGTCTCGCCCATGAACGGTGAAAGACCTGATAGCCTAAAAAGATAGAGAAGGAAGGGTATATTTTTAATGTTGCTGCTTTATTTTTTATAGAATTCATTTTCACGGATCTAACATGACATATGACATGAATTCATGACAGGATAGCTCAAGATCTCTTGTTCGGTTATCATTTTTTGACAACCCTGATCTACTAGATAGGACAAACATTAAACACTATAAATATGTATATAAATATCATCTGTAAGAATGTAAAACATAGGTACCTACCAAGCTAAACGAACAAGGACGTAAAGATGACTACTTTACTTAGAAATCTTATGTTATGGAGTTAAAAATAGGATTGATCCAATAAGTATATTTTTACCTAACTGAATTAAAATATTTATTGTATCTAAACCTCTATGGAATATCCCTCGAAAGATACATCTATACTAATATTATAAAGAGGTAAAATTTCTAAGTTTGTGTGTTTGTAAGTTTTGTATGTAATCTTTGGAACCGCTGGTCGGATTTCCAAAATTCTTTCCAATATTCATAATCTCTAAATCTCATCTCGTTATGACTTTAAAGAGGAAAAAATTGAATGAGGTCAAATTAAAAATGAACTTACAGCACATAACAGATGACTCCAACCGACCACATGTCCGTTCCATAGCCAATCTGATCGAAGTTAACAACCTCTGGCGCCACAAATTCAGGGGTGCCAAAAAGAACTTGAAGTTTCTTCTCCGGGTCGTAGAACCTGGCTAGGCCGAAGTCTATGATCTTGATGCGGTTGCCCTGCTTGGTTAGACAAAGGATGTTTTCTGGCTGGAAAATTGAAGAAGATTTTCTTGTTACTCGTCTTATATTTAAAGAGAAATTGTTAGGTTCCCTATAATGGCAAGTTTAAGACATTTTTATATAGAAAGTAAAGGCCGTCCGTGGATTTAACACCTTTTTAAAATTTTCGTTTATTTTATCTACGTACAATCCTATCTGGACTTCTACGATTAATTGAAGACAAAATTTAGCAAAATCGGTATAATGCATTGTTGAGTTATAACATAACAACGAAAAGTGGCATTGATTTTTATATTCATACTTAGATATAAAAATAAGTAAGGTAGGTAGGCAAAGATTTACCTGCCTTATTAAAATGACATTGGTAGGTGTCTATTAATGTTACATTCATCAATAGGTCATGAGAATGGCGGGCAATCTATCAACTATTTTCATCAACATTTGCTTACATAACTTCAGCATGTAAACAAGGCAGTTGAAAACGGCAAAGTAAAGCATCAAACAGTCATCGAAAGGCCGTAAATAACCAAAGAGTTTTTAGTTAAATATAAATGCTTGGTGTATTTCTGCAACGTTTCCGACAGATGACAGAAATACACATTCGAAATTCAAAAGCGACATCTTCAAATAAACTGGCTTGTAATCATAAAAGTCGCGCGCTTTTTTCCGCCATTTTGATTTATTAGTTGGAACCGGACCAAAATGGCGGGACCGCAACAGCAACAGCTGAACAATGTAATCGTTTCTTTATTTACTTTATTATTTGTACAAACGGAATTACGTCTGTATTTTATTGTTGAAGTCAAGGGTGAAGCGATTTTGCATTTTTTCGACATTTTAGTATTGTGTTTTTGTTGTAATTCGGAGTAATTATAATTATGCAGGTACTTAATTGCTTCAAGCTGTCAGCCAGTCCATCAAGCCATTTTAAATCATCTAATGTTTTTTTGAAATTATTTATATAACAAAGTAGTAATGTAGTACGTGTCTTAACATTTTTATTTTAGCTTGAAAAATTGCCGCTGGTTCCATGGCTGTCCATACCTTCATATCCAGATGCAGGATATTCTGCCGATGCACGAACTCGATGCCTTCACATATCTGTCGCATGAACACGGTGCATGCTCGCTCTGTCAGCACGAAGTCCTCATCAATGACACGCTCAAACAATTCACCGCCAGTAATGCTGTAAAAATAAGAAAAAAAAAGTTTACCTAAGTGGAAAAAATTGAAGATATTTTTTTTCATTCTTCTAATCTTCTGGTCAGAGGTTTAATTTCTCGAAAAGATTTATACAGAAAGGACAAAGTTAACAAACAAGGGTTTATATTAACTATTTTCTATAATAAAATCCCGTGGAACAAACAATATCCTACCTACGTAACTCCAAGGCGATTCTGGAATCGGTGTGAACGTAATTACGGCTTTATGGATAGACAAACAAATCGCTCAGTAGGTATTGCAGCTATTAGGCAGCGTTGAAAACCTCGTAAAACGGTAACGAAATTTTGGTTATAACACAGAGAATAGCGTGATGTCTGAATTTGTTTTTTTTTTTTCATTAGGAGAAGATAATCTTTCTGCCAACCACCGAATCGTCACAGGGTGAACGCAATGAAATTATTAATAGAAAATGGGAAGATAAGGAACAAATCAATTTAACAAAACCAGAATGCGAAAAGATGAAAGCACCCTTATGTAGTATCTTAAGAGCAACAATATTGAAGTTGGTAATGAAAGCCCTTAATGGACTATCAATTCAAGAAAACATTAAATATGCTAGACAAAAATAAATATCGACATGTAGGAAGATTTTCAGGACTAATCAAAAATATCGTCTACCGCACACAAGAGGTCAATTAGTCATTCCAAATACTGACTCATCTGGACCTCTCCCAATTCGCTGACACCGCGTACCGCGTTCCGCATTGCAAGAGTTCAAAGATAGGTCTTCCAAATTAGTTCTTCATTACTTAGAATGCACATTGAGTGCACTCCGTGTATGGAAACTGCATGTTTGTGCACTATCAATACAAAGTGCATGTTATCACAAGGCCGGAATGACCGACGGCTAAGGTACAGAATTCGAGCTATGTGTGACTCAGCATTGATTGTAAATGAAACACGATTGTGGCGAAAAATGTTTAGTACAAAACTTAGAGTGTTTCCTCAACCTCAAAACAGTGAACAAAAGCGTTCGTGACTAGAATATTCAGTTTTTGCCAGTGATGCTATGAATTCCATGTAGTCGGGTGATATTATTGTACATTCGTTAGGACAAGTGTTAAAAATAAGCGTCATTTGTAATTTAATCTTCAAAGAAGACTTGATGTTCCGTAACTACCAAAAATACAGACAAATCTTACATTTGGCGGGAAATGGAGTTCGTGTGTTAGTTCTTAGGTAGGTGAAACACAATAATGCACACGAATTACGTATAACAGGTAATGTTTATTGGAAAGACACTTAGAAAAACACAATAGACTATACAGCAAATATAGGTAGTACTGCTTATAGAAGGTTTTGGCGGGAACGAGCGAGATCCGCGGAAGATAACTGTTCCGGGCGTTAGAAGCGGGCGCGCGACTCGACTGACTCCTGAGTGGCGGGAGCGCGGTAACGCGGCGCGGGCACAGGGCGCATGCGCGGGCGTTGCGCGGGCGGTGCGCGGTCCTTACGTGGCCGACGCGGTACCTACTGTTTAACGGTCTACCGTTTCGCGCCACATTCCGCGCGCGATAGTCTCCCCCTCTAACCCAAACGAACGTCCTCGCGTTGGGGTTAGCAAAATCTACGAGGCCTCCCCCTCTTTCGTTTCTCCTGTACCGGGTCTTGGATGCGACCGACGAAGGGAGTCAACACAGAAGCATGATACTTACCTAGCACCGTACCATCGCTGAGGCGCTCGAGATTGTATGTGGTGGGACTGACCCCTGGATCCTCCATTTGATTCTCGCGCACGTCCTTCAGACTGCGAGAGGGCACGTCGACCGCAGCGCAGCACAGGTCACAGTCGGCATCTTCGGCACATGCCGGGCGCGACAGATTGTCGGCTATGATGTTCGCCTTACCTGGAGTGTCTTCTGTCTTCAGGTTATACCCTTGAAGACTCTGGGCCCACCTGGCTAGACGACCGCTTGGAGATTTCATACTCATCAGCCACCTAAGCGGCTGATGGTCTGACTTTACCACCACTTCTGCGCCGTCTATGTATCCCCTGAACTTGGAGACGGCCCAGACGACGGCTAGAGCTTCCTTCTCCGTCGTGCTGTAGTTCCTTTCAGCAGCGTTCAAGAGGCGACTGGCGTATTCTATCGGGCGCTCGTCGGTCCCCTCCCCCTGGAGGAGAACCGCCCCGAGAGAGTATCCACTGCTGTCGGTCCTGAGGACGAAAGGCAACGTCGCATCAGCCTGACGCAGGATCGGCGCCGATACCAGCAGGTGCTTGATCTTATCGAAAGCAGCTTGCTGCTCCGGGCCCCATTTCCATACTCTTACCTTTTTCAGCAGCGCTGTCAATGGTTTGGCGACCTCTGCGTAGCCGGGGATAAAACGCCTGAACCAGCTGGAAGTCTGCAGGAAACATTTTAGGTGCTTTACGTTGCGCGGTGTAGGCATGTTCGCGATTGCCGCGGTCTTGCCTGGATCTACATGAATACCACCCGGTAAGATGATGTGCCCTAAGAACTTCACCGTTTCCCTCTTAGGAGGTGACAATCTAAACGGGGGAGAGGCCAAGGGTTTCTGTGTTCCACTCACCTTAATTTTGTGGACTGCGAAGTCGGTGGGTGGTCCAGCCGAAGCAAACTGCTCCGGTGACAAGCACGTACCATCGCTAATATCCACCTGCGCCACTGTCGCGCTATTTAACACAAAAGATTGCAAAAACGAGTACCGGTCTCCTGGACTATCCGCAAAATGCCAGGACTCTTGGGCTATGTCTAACACGATCTCAGCCTGTGCGATAAAATCGCGGCCTAAAAGAGTCCGGGTATCGTCGCCGGGAAACACCATGAACTCGGTATTGACTCTTCGACTATTTAACGTGACCGGTACGGTCGCGGTTTTAATAGTCTTTCTGTGACATGAGCCATCGGCAAGCCCGACATATCGTTCCGTTTCGTGAAATTCGATGCCGTTATTTATAAGCAACGAATATAACATCGGGCTAGCGACGCTATGCGTAGCGCCGGTATCGAGTATCGCTACACCTTCTTTTCCTACGACGCTTATTGCTACTAAAGGGTGCGATGACATCATAGTCGCAAAGAAGTCTCCTTTTACGACATTAAAATCGGCTGGCTTACCTGGCGCGGACGTGGATTTACCCGAACATGTTTCGCACTTCGATTTAACTACCCCTGCCTGGCCGCATCCATAACAGCGAATTGTATTACTTATAGTACTATCGCTAGTATTGTCTACTTTACTAGAGGAATCTGTGCTATCGACTTTGTTCGCGGCTTTCCGACATTCATTGGCCGCGTGGCTGAACGATCTACAGAATGAACACCGAACACGATTTCGCTTAGACGATTCGTTCGAATTAGAGGTGAGTTTGGGACTAGTGGTTGCGTTCGAACTCGTAGTAATACTCCGATCGGGAACAGTAGGTATGTTCGAATTGTTCGCGGGAACGTTTGAGTTTTTTAGTTCGGTTATTGAATCTTCTGTGAGTCTCGCTCGCTCTAACAGATGTTCAATGTCGGTGATGGTGTCTCGTGACACCCGTTTTCTTATACGCCGGTGTAATAAACCGTACACTATATCTACCATCATCTCGTTTGGCACAGAATAGGGTAACTGAATAAGTAAACATCGTACCTTTGACACAAAAACTTCAGCACGTTCGCACTCACTTTGTTTACATTGGAATACCTCACGCAGTATCATGTGCGCGGGGTTTCGCACGCCGTAGGTAGCGCGCAGGCGCGCTAGCGCGTCCGGCCACGAGCCGACCGCGGCCCGGGCACCGCGCCACCACAGCGCCGCGTCGCCGTTCAGCAACATGGAGAGGCCGCGTAGCGCGTGATCGTCTGTCACGCCGGCGCACTCCTTGTATACCTCCACTGCGTCAATGAAGGCCTCCAGTACCTCCGGGTCGCGGGACTGGCCGTCAAACCTAGCGGTGCACTTTGAAAAATTACCGCCACAGGCCGCGGGTGTGTTCGCCGAGGGCGAAGCCGCCGGCGTCGATGTGACGGGGCTCCACGTGTCGCCGCCGTGCCGTAGGGATCGCAGAGTTTCCACGAACGTCCGGTTTGTTTCCGCCTGCATCCGGGCGAAAGATTCCATCATAGTGGATAGCAGTCGCTCGGTATTGAACGCTGCGGCAGGCGCGCCGGTCTGGGCCTCGCCGAGCGTGTGGTCGAGAGCGGCGCCCCTCCGGGCGCGCGGCTCTTCGGTTGCGGCGGGCGCGCCGGTCCGGGCCCCACCGAGCATGTGGTCGAGGGCGGCGCACCCCTGGGCGCGCGTCTCCTCGGTCGCGTCGTATGCGTCGCGTGACTGGGTGGTAGCGGCGCCGGCATGGGCGCGCGGCTCCACCACTGAGTCGCAGTCTGAATCGGAGTAACCGTCACTTCCTTGCTCCTCCGCCTTGTGTCCGATCTGTGCTCGGGTTGCTCGCGTAATTCGTGGCATGATTAGGTCTTTATAGTCACTGAATATATAACACTTCACTGGGTTCGTTTTACTGCCGACATTAAACTAACGTCGGGCCGCAAGTTGGGCGTCACTTTTACATTGGCGGGAAATGGAGTTCGTGTGTTAGTTCTTAGGTAGGTGAAACACAATAATGCACACGAATTACGTATAACAGGTAATGTTTATTGGAAAGACACTTAGAAAAACACAATAGACTATACAGCAAATATAGGTAGTACTGCTTATAGAAGGTTTTGGCGGGAACGAGCGAGATCCGCGGAAGATAACTGTTCCGGGCGTTAGAAGCGGGCGCGCGACTCGACTGACTCCTGAGTGGCGGGAGCGCGGTAACGCGGCGCGGGCACAGGGCGCATGCGCGGGCGTTGCGCGGGCGGTGCGCGGTCCTTACGTGGCCGACGCGGTACCTACTGTTTAACGGTCTACCGTTTCGCGCCACATTCCGCGCGCGATACAAATAATTAATAAACACACCATGTAAACATACATAGTTTGTTAGGTACTAGTATAAATAAATACACAATT